GCTCAGGCTAGAGTGCAATGGTGTGATAACTCACTGTAGCCTCAGACTGGGCTCCAGGAATCCTCCTACCTCAGCTTCCCGCATCAGGCTAATTTTTTTTCCCCCCCAAGACAGAGTCTTGCTCTGTCACCTAGGCTGGAGTGCAGTGATGCGATCTCGGCTCACTGCAACCTCTGCCTCCTGGGTTCAAGCGATTCTCCTGCCTCAGCCTCAGGAGGAGCTGGGGTTACAGGCGCCCACAACTGTGCCCAGTTAATTTTTGTATTTTTAGTAGAGATGCAGTTTCACCATATTGGCCAGGCTGGTCTCAAACTCCTGACCTCGTGATCTGCTGGCCTCGGCCTCCCAAAGTGCTGGGATTACAGGCTTAAGCCACTGGACCCAGCCTAAAAAAAAATTTTTTTTTAGAGATGGGGTCTTGACTGGATGTGGTGACTCACACCTGTAATCCCAGCACTTTGGGAGGCCAAGGCAGGGGATCACCTGAGGTCAGGAGTTCGAGACTAGGCTGGCCAACATGGCGAAACCCTGTCTCTACTAAAAATACAAAAAATTAGTTGGGCGTGGTGGTGCACACTTGTAATCCCAGCTACTTGGGAGGCTGAGGCAGGATAATTCCTTGAACCTGGGAGGCGGAGGCTGTAGTGAGCTGAGATCGTGCCACTGCACTCCAGCCTGGGTGACAAAGTGAGATTCCATCTTAAAAAAAAAAAAAAAGGGCCGGGCGTGGTGGCTCAAGCCTGTAATCCCAGCACTTTGGGAGGCCGAGACGGGTGGATCACGAGGTCAGGAGATCAAGACCATCCTGGCTAACACAGTGAAACTCCATCTCTACTAAAAAATACAAAAAACTAGCCGGGCGAGGTGGCGGGCGCCTGTAGTCCCAGCTACTCGGGAGGCTGAGGCAGGAGAATGGCGTAAACCCGGGAGGTGGAGCTTGCAGTGAGCTGAGATCCGGCCACTGCACCCCAGCCTGGGCGACAGAGCAAGACTCCGTCTCAAAAAAAAAAAAAAAAAAAAAAAAGAGATAGGGTCTTGCTATGTTGCCCACACTGGTCTGGAATTTCTGAGCTCAGTGTTCCTTCCACCTCTGGTGCCCTAGTAGTTGGGTTTACAGGAATGAGCCACTGCACCGGGCAAGTTGTGTATATTTTGACAAATGCATAATTGTGCCACAAAAGCACTAGTTTTTAATATTATTTGAACCATCTAATTACAGTTACCAGTGCTTTAGAAAACAAACCCACATAATTGCCTATGGGATGGACCAAATGACAGCTAACTGTTCATTGTCCTAAAGAGGAAAGTTAAAGGGGTGGAAAAAAATAACAGAAGTGGGTGGTCCTGCCAGGAAGGGGGTAAGTAGACAGGATTAGGCTGGAGATGTTTCAGCTCACACTCTCACTGAGGATAAAAGGAACAGACAAAAAACTGAAAGGGAACAGCTGCTTCTTTGGGTGTATCTGGATGCATATGGATTACAACAAATTGAAAACTGATGATAATTCAGATTTAATTTGGGATACCTGGTTGGAATGGAAACCAGAGTTTATTTGCAAATTGCTCCCAATGATCACACTCACACATATGAATTCATAAAACAGTTTACTCAGTAAACATTTGGGTACAGAGATTTTCTTTTCAAACAGAGCACAGAAGGGTCAGTAACAGGTTTGACCTAGCACAGCTTCCCAAGCACTGATGAGTGGATCAAACACTACAGCGTACACAGGATGCTCCTCACAGAATGAAAAACAGCTGCTCATTTTCGGTTAGCTATTAGCCTTCTAGCCCCACCCTTGTGGGTTTTTTTTTTTTTTTTTTTTTGAGACAGAGTCTCACTCTGTCACCCAGGCTGGAGTACAGTGGCCGGATCTCGGCTCACTGCAAGCTCTGCCTCCTGGGTTCACGCCATTCTCCTGCCTCAGCCTCCCAAGTAGCTGGGACTACAGGTGCCCACCATTACGCCCAGCTAATTTTTTTTGTATTTTTAGTAGAGACGGGGTTTCACCGTGTTGACCAAGATGGTCTCGATCTCCTGACCTCGTGATCTGCCCGTCTCGGCCTCCCAAAGTGCTGGGATTACAGGCGTGAGCCACTGCGCCCGGCCTGTTTTTTCTTTTTTGAGACAGAAGCTCACTCTGTTGCTCAGGCTGGAGTGCAGTGGCGGTGCCATCTTGGCTCACTGCAACCTCCACCTCCTGGGTTCATGCGATTTGCCCACCTCAGCCTCCTGAGCAGCTGGGTTTACAGGTGCTCCACCACACCCGGATTTTATATATATATATAGGTTTTTAGTAGAGATAGGGTTTTGCCGTGTTGGCCAGGCTGCTCTTGAACTCCTGAACGCAAGTGATCCACCTACGTTGGCCTCCCAAAGTGCTGGGATGACAGGCGTGAGCTATCGCACCTGGCCAGCCTTACCCTTGTAATGAAGCAGTGAAGTACAGCTGGCCCAGATCTCAGCCAACATCATCTTCTGACAGACTCTGCTTCATGCAGATACATTACACACAACAGGACACAATGCACATGCCTTGTTCATACCCTCAGAGTTGCCTGGCAATTACCATGGTTTGGGGACGAATCTACACTAGACCTGCATGGCTGCAGTGGTAACACTCCATTGCTTAACTGCTCCTTTCACATGAGCACTCTCTAATGAAAATAAAAAGTTAATTCACTTCCCCTACCCCCTATTTTAAGTTTAAGCTTGAATTTTTTTTTTTTTTTTTTTTTTTTTTTTTTTTTTAGATGGAGTCTCACTCTGTCGCCAGGCTGGAGTGCAGTGGCACAGTCTTTGCTCACTGCAACCTCTGCCTCCTGGGTTCAAGCAATTCTCCTGCCTCAGCCTCCCAAGTAGCTGGGATTACAGCCACGCGCCACCATGCCCGACTAATTTTTGTATTTTTTTTTTTTTTTAGTAGAGATGGGGTTTCACCATGTTGGCCAGGCTGGTCTTGAACTCCTGACCTCGTGATCCTCCCGCCTCGGCCTCCCAAAGTACTGGGATTACAGGTGTGAGCCACCATGCCCAGCTCACTTGATATGTTTTTTATAAGTATTTTTAGTGATAGGAATGCTTACTTGCTTTATTTATTATTTTTGTGGAGAACAAAGTCCCACTATGTTGCCCAGGCTGGTCTCAAACTCTTTGGCTCAAGCTCTCCTCCCACCTGGGCTTCCCAAAGTCCTGGGACTGCAGGCATGAGCCACCACATCTGGCCAGTAGGTCACTAATGCCTTTTTTTCTCTTTTTTTGAGATGGGGTCTTGCTCTGTTGCCCAGGCCAGATTGCTGTGGCATGATCTCAGCTCACTGCAAGCTCTGCCTCCCTGGTTCATGCCATTCTCCTGCCTCAGCCTCTTGAGTAGCTGGGACTACAGGCACCCACCACCACACCCGGCTAATTTTTTGTATTTTTAGTAGAGATGGGGTTTCACCTTGTTTAGCCAGGATGGTCTCGATCTCCTGGCCTCGTGATCTGCCCACCTTGGCCTCCAAAAGAGCTGGGATTACAGGCGTGAGCCACCGCGCCTGGCCCTGGTCAGTAATTCTTTAATGCGAACTTCAAGTTATAAACGTCCCTTCACTTACATTTCTTTTCATCTTAGCAGTGAATGCCTCGAGAGCTACATTCTTTTTGCTGTGCACATTTCAAGATTTAGGTATCACTAACTAAAAAACCAGGCGTTCCTTTTTTGTGTGTGTGACAGAGTCTCACTCTGTCACCCAGGCTGGAGTGCAGTGGTGTGATCTCAGCTCACTGCAACCTCGGCCTCCTGGGTTGAAGCGATTCTCTTGCCTCAGTCTCCCGAGTAGCTGGGACTACATGCACACCACTATGTCTGGCTAATTTTTGCCTTTTTAGTAGAGATGGGGTTTCACGATACTGGCCAGGCTGGTCTTGAACTCCTGACCTTGTGATCTGCCCGCCTCAGCCTCCCAAAGTGCTAGGATTACAGGCGTGAACCCTGGTTTATTTAATGTTAGCATTCTGACATGATGTTAAATGACCTCGATACAATGAGTAATAATTATGTTCTAAGTTGCAAAGATCCCATAAGGAAAATAAAGAAGTATTAGATAGCATCACCGACTTCACAGATTTGGTCTCAAAGTAAATCTGCTACATACTAAATAATTTAAATTAATATGGTGATGGAGTGTATAGCATTGGAAGAAAACTTGTTGAAGAAAGCTTACTTTATTTTTATTTTTTTAAGAGGCAGGGTTTCACTCTGTTACCCAGGCTGGAGTGCAGTGGCCTGATCATGGCTCACTGCAGCCTCGAACTCCTGGGTTCAAGTGACCCTTCTGCCTCAGCCTCCCAAGTAGTTAGGATTACAGACATGCACCATCATGGCTAATTTTTTTTTTTTTTTTTTGAGATGGAGTTTTGCTCTTGTTTCCCAAGGTGGAGTGCAATGGTGTGATCTTGGCTCACTGAAACCTCTTCCTCCCAGGTACAAGCAATTTTCTGGTCTCAGCCTCCCAAGTAGCTCAGACGACAGGCATGCGATACCATACCCGGCTAATTTTTTTGCCTTTGGTAGAGACGGGGTTTCACCGTGTTAGGCTGGTTGCAAACTCCTAAACTCAGGTGATCCACCCACCTTGGCCTCGCAAAGTGCTAGGATTACAGGTGTGCGTCACTGCGCCCAGCCCAAAATGGCTAATTAAGATTTTTTTTTTTTGTAGAGGTGAGTCTTGCTATGTTGTCCAGGTGGTCTCAAATGCCTGGGATCAAGCGATCCTCCCCATTTGGCCTCCCCAAGCACTGGGATTACAGGTGTGAGACACCACTCCCAGTCGAAAGCTTACTTTGGATATAACTGATTTGAATTTTATTCTTGTGAAATAGTGACGAGATTTACATCGTCTACTTCTATGCTGCAGACAGTCATCATGAGGCAAATAAAATTTTCTAAGGTAAGGAGAGTGAGAATGGACTTTCCCCTTCAGTCTATGGCAAAATAAAGGGGGGCATGGGAGAATCCTGACGGTGGAAATCATTTTATTCTCATACACAGGTTATTACAGCACAATTAGGAAGAGACAATCACAGGCAACTCACAATGCTATATTCAAATTATGCCAAAGTCCCAACGTATTCATTTCATTTGCTAGTCAGTTCCTGAAAGACCAGAGCAGAGTGATACACAAGTTTATTAACACCGACTACAATGTCAATGAAGCCTTCTGGCATTGTTCAAAATAGAAAACATGTGTAAAGATCTTCAAAATGCAGGTCGAAATGCAAATTCAAGTGAAAGGAAAAAGCACTGCTGTGAAGCCTAATGGCAATTACTTCCTTTCAAAGGTTTGTGTCCCAGCCGGAGAGAATGACTGGTGGACAGAAGAGAAAGAAAGGCAAAATTCCTAAGGGAGAAATTAAAAAAATGATGGGGGTGCTGCCCTCTGCACTGGGCCTCTTTGGCAGTCTACTTCAACTTAATTTATTAGCGCCATAAGGTTGTAAGAGAAGCAACTCTGGCTTGAGCTTAGAAAAGCTGATTTTCTTTTTGGCATCATATTTCTGGTGAGAACTGATGGGAAAGGTGGTGTGGATTCTTGGACAAAATCTGTAACATAATCTTGACTACTGAAGGGTAAAGATTTGCCCACAGGTTACAGATTACATGAATTACACACAACAAATAATAGCAGATGATGGGACAGGGATATTTTAATTGTACAGCATAACACTAGAGGGCTGGGAAGTGTGGGACATCATTCTTGTCTTTCTTCACTCAGTAACTGATTATCTTGTTTCTTGTCCATGGATATTTAACCTAAATAACGATGCTTTTTGAAGGTTGTTTGGCTGACCCAGAGGTAGTAAAAGACTTCATAAGTCTTTCTATTACTGAAGAGGGGCTTAGTAATAACTGCAAGTCCATTTATGTATGTAGCAGATGGTAACAATCTCCAGAGCCACTGACATATGCAGCAGAAAAGCACAAAGAACTTTGTATTTGTTATAATTTCTACTGCATTGTCCAAATACAGATAGAAAATACTGATACATAGTGTGGGGAATCTTGAGACATTTCAGCCCATGCACTATGAGGCACTTGTACTGATAACTGATTATCACAACTTTATTAAATGCCCATCATTTAACAGATGGCACAGAAAATAAATGGCACACTCAAAATATTAACTTAACAAATAAAGGCACTATTTACAAATATGTGTTCACAATTAAAGACACCCAACCAGTGGGTTGGGGAAGCACCCAGTAGTAAAGTCTGAAGATCATGGAGAGGGAATGATAACAACTGAAACCAAGAGATCTACGGCCATAGACGGGGGCTTCCCAAAGGGAGCTGTATCCTTATGGGAACACAGAAGCTACCTAAACCATAGTCCAGGCAGGAGGAAGGGAATGGTATAAAATACCTTTTTTTCTCCTCCCATCTGATCTCTTTCTGGTATCTCCCATTGTTCAAACCTATGAAGAAACCCCAGTCTCTAGAAGACAGTCTTGGGGGGGAACAGAGCAGAAAATGGGGGAAAACGGATCAAAGAAATAGGGAACACTCAGCACACATGCAGATCCACAATCCACACAATTTCTGTCATGTGCCTGGTACAAATTCAAGTTACCCTGAGCCCGGAAGGAACAGGCTTCTGACTCAGATGATGCAGTCTACTCAACTATATTTAACAATTCACACTTAAGTGTTATCATCATCACACTTTACTTCTAAATAAACTCCAAATATGTTATCATTACTTTGGCTTTAAGCAGCCAATTCTCTTTTAAAAAGATTTTAAAAAGAGAGAAATATCTTTTATATTTACCCACATATTCACCATTTTCAGAACTTCATTCCTTTGTACAGACCCAAACTTAAGTTTTGTATTATTTTCCTGCTGCCCTCAAACTTCCTTTCATATTCCCCGAAGACAGGTCTACAGGTAATAAAATTATCTTTGATTTAGTTTGTCTGAAACAGTCTTTATTTTGCCTTCATTTTTGAAAACATTTTTGATGGAAACAGAATTCTAGGTTGCAGGGTTCGTTGTTTATTTCATTCAGGAATTTAGAGATAATACTCTATTGTTTTATAGCTTGCATAGTTCTCACCATAAATTTGCTGCCATTCTTTGTTCCTGTGTATGTATTATCTTTTCTTCTCAAGGTGTTTTAAAATTATTCTGTTTATCAGTGCTTTTCTTGAATGTGACTCTGAGGTGCACTGCTGTGAAATAAATTATGTTTATTCTACTTCAGGTCATTTGAACTTCTTGAATATGTGGGGGTATTGTTTTCATCAGATTTGGAAAATCTTTAGCCAATATTTATTCAAATACTTCTTCCTGCCTCTTCATTTTCTCCTCTCCTTCTGGGACTCCAGTTACACATATATTACACCACTATAACTGTTTTCCTATTCTCTTTAAGTCTTTTTTTCTCTCTCTGCATAACATTTTGGTAGTTTTTATTCTTACTCTTCACGTTCAGTGATTTTTTTCTTTTTCTGTATCTAATCTCTCCACTTGGGATTTTAACAAAATCAGAAGGTGTTTTCATCCCTAGAAGTTCTATTTTGGCCATTAAAAATATCTTTTATACCTCAAGTTTCATCAACTTCTGGCATATGTGGGGGTATTGTTTTCCTCTACTTTATATTTACAATAGCTCTTTTAATACCCTTGTCTACTAATTCCATCACCTCTGTCTTTTCTGGGTTTCTATTGATTTTTCTCCTGGTTATAAGTCATACTTTATTGCTTCCTTGCATGCCAGATAAGATTTTTTTTGGATGCCGAACACTACAGGTCCACAGTAGCTTTTTAATCTAGAGCTAATTAGCCTCACTACTAAAACAAAACCCTTCTAAGAATTCTACCTGATGCTCCATGTGTTAGAATCTGTTTCCACTCTGGCTGCTGAGAACATAAACTATTCCCAGCCCTGCATGAGTTCCAGGAATTGTTCAGCCTGCTGCTTTCCAGTGCTTCTTTTCCTGGCCTCAGTGCCAAGTCAGTACTAAGCCAAAGGACCAAGGGGACTCTCTGCAGACGTCTTGAGCCCTATCTCTAGGAAGATCCCATCTCTCCAGTACTTTCCCCTGCGAATTCTAGCTGCTGTGGCCTCCCTAACTGCCAATCCTGTCTCTTCAATTCAGCAAGATTTACCGTTTCCCTTCCCTGAACTGCAGCCTAGTAACTGCCATCAGGGGGCAGGCTGAGAAACCATAGTGCTCACCTCACTCTGTCTACAGTTTCCTGAGGATTACAAACCTGTGCTTGTCATATGTCTAAAAACCGTTACATATTATATGTATTGAACAGCTTCTAGTTGTTTAAGGCAGGAGAGAAAATCTACTGTGCTTGTCCTATGTCTAAAAACCATTATATATTATATGTATTGGACAGCTTCTAGTTGTTTAAGGCAGGAAAGGAAATCTGACTCTTGTTATTCCATCACAGCAGAAAGCAGAACTCTTCACATCTAAGTAAACACACCTAACACTTACAATTGACTGCTTTTTGTAATAATTTATATATAAAGAACACCACTTCCTTACAGAACTATTTCAATAGCATCACGCTTGTCAAATTCTTTACATTATTGAGACTACTCGTCAGTATGAACCTCTGTAGGTATTATTCTCAAGTGCACAGTGAGTTGTCCTTTCTTGAAATCTTTCACTTGCTTGTTATAACAATATAATTTTCTTCCTGTTTAGGTATTCTAAACATTTAATAAGCTGACTTTTGACTAAAAGCTTCTGTACTATCACAACACTAATAAGGTTTTCATCTCAATGAGTCATCCAATATGTAATGAGTAGTGTCTTCTGGGAGATGACTTTTTTTACATTGTTTACTTTTTAAAAACTCTCCTTTCTAAATTCTGCATAGTGACTCTTGACTCCTCGATTCAAGCTTTTTCAACAGTCACTGCCTCAATAGGGTTTCTCTCCCTTATTCATCCTCAAAAGTGTTAGAAAGTATGACATTTGATAGCAACCTTTCTGAATTCGCCAAACTTATGATTTTTATATTATATGATTTCTCTGATGTATCATAAGCTGCGACTTCCTGTTGAAGGTGGTCCCACACTCATTGCATCCATAATATTTATCTCCTGTATGAATCCTCTGATGCCTCATAAGGTGTGACTTTCTCGTGAAAGACTTCCCACATTCACCACATTTATATGGTCTCTCTCCTGTATGAATTCTCTGATGTATAATGAGCTGTGCCTTCTCAAAGAAAGCTTTTGCACAATCACTGCATCCATAGGTTTTCTCTCCCGTGTGATTTCTTTGATGCTTAATGAGCTGCACTTTCTGAACAAATGCTTTCCCACATTCATTGCATTCATAGGGTTTCTCCCCTGTATGAATTCTCTGATGCCTAAGAAGCTGTGGCTTCCAGGCAAAAGCTTTCCTACATTCACTACATTCAAAGGGCTTTTCTCCAGTATGAGTTCTCTGATGATGAATGAGACTTGACTTCTCACTGAAGGTTTTCCTGCATTCACTGCATTCATAGGGTTTCTCACCTGTATGTGTTCTCTGATGTGATATCAGGCTTGACTTCTGGGTGAAGGCTTTCCCACACTCACTGCATTCATAAGGCTTCTCCCCAGTGTGTGTTCTGTGATGCGTTAGGAGCTGGGACTTCCCAAAGAAGGTTTTCCCACATTGAATGCATCCATATGGTTTCTCTCCTAAGTGAATTTTTTGATGTCTTATTAACTCTGACTTCTTAAAGAAGGCCTCTTCACAATCACTGCATCGATAGTTCTTCTCTCCTGTGTGAGTTATCTGATGTTTAATCAGCTGTGGTTTTCTGATGAAGGCTTCACCACATTCATTGCATTCGTAGGGCTTCTCTCCTGTATGAATCCTCTGATGCCTAATGAGAAGTGAGTTCCTGCTGAAGGCTTTTTGACACTCACTACATGCATAAGGTTTCTTCCCTGTGTGGGTCCTCTGATGAGTAATAAGCTGCGACTTCCAAAAGAAGGATTTTCCACAGTGACTACACGTATAGGGTTTCTCTCCTGTGTGCGTTCTCTGATGTGTGATGAGTTTTAATTTCTGCGAGAATGCTTTCCCGCACTCACTGCAACTGTAGGGTTTCTCTATTGTGTGAGTTATCTGATGTCTTTTAAGCTGCGACTTCCTACTGAAGGCTTTTCCACATTCACTGCATCCATACGGCTTCTCTCCAGTATGAATTCTCTGATGTAAAATGAGGAGTGACTTCCTACTAAAAGCTTTCTGACATTCGCTGCACCCATACGGTTTTTCTCCTGAGTGAGTTCTTTGATGAATAGTGAGCAGTGACTTCTGTGAGAAGGCTTTTCCACACTCACTGCATTGATAGGGCTTCTCTCCTGTATGAGTTCTCTGGTGAATAATAAGTTGTGACTTCTTGTTAAAAAATCTGCCACATTCCATGCATAAATAGACTCCTGTGTGTGTATGATTAGCAGTGAGCCATGGCTCTTTATTGCTGGGTTTTCTACATGTATTGCAATCACAGCATTTTATTCCACCATGGGTTCTGTCATGAATACAGAATAGTAATTTATTATTGAGCTCATCAATTTTCTTTCTTTCACCGTTATTTCTTGGAATAAGCAAATCAAAAGGACGTTTCAAACTTTTTTCTCCTGTGCCACATTTATGGGATCTCATTCCTACATGAACAACGTTTATGTTTGAATTAAATATTTTTCCAAAAACATCATATTTATGGCCTCTCTCCATACTTTTAAGGTTGTCTTGATTATCTCGGAGCCACATTTTGGGATTATCTAGCCAGACTTCTAAAAAGAGAAAAAAATGAACCATACTGTGTAATTCCTTCAATTATTATGCTTATCATGTAAAGCTTCTGAAATTGGGCCATAATCCTACTTTTTAAAAAATCTCTCAAATAATGTGTACTTATTGGGCATTGACAATTTTAACATAAATGAAAATTAATTTTTAAATTACAAATGTTTAAATACACGAACTTTTATTTTTATTATTTATGTTTTTGTGACGGAACCTCATGCAGTCACCAGGCTGGAGTACAGTGGTGTGATCTCAGCTCACTACAACCTCTGCCTCCTGGGTTAAAGCAATTTCCTGCCTCCTCCTCCCAAGTAGCTGGGACTACAGGCATGCACCACGACACCCAGCAAATTTTTGTATTTTTTTTTTTTTTTTGAGACGGAGTCTCGCTTTGTCGCCCAGGCATGCACGGATCTCAGCTGCAAGCTGTCTGGTTCATTCTTCTAGTAGTTAAGGACCCGGGGTGGTTTCACCACCAGATGTTGCCCGACCGGATGGTCCTCCAATCTTCTTGGACCTTTTCTGTGGATTCCCATCCCACCACCTTCGGATCCCCCCTGGCCTCCAAAGTGTTGGGATTACAGGCATGAGCCGCCGCGCCTGGCCTTATTTATTTATTTTTTTTGAGAGGGAGTCTTGCTCTGTTGCTAGGCTAGAGTGCAGTGGCATGATCTCAGCTCACTGCAACCTCCACTTCCCGGGTTCAAGCGATTCTCCTGCCTCAGCTTCCTGAGTATCTGGGACTACAAGTTTGCACCACCACACCTGGCTATTTTTTGTATTTTTAGTAGAGATAGGATTTCACCAGGTTGGCCAGGATGGTCTCGATCTCCTGATCTTATGATCCACCCGTGTTGGCCTCCCAAAGTGCTGGGATTACAGGTGTAAGCCACCACACCTGGTCAAATACATGAACTTTTAAATGAGGAAATATTAAATATACTCAAAGAACAGTGATCATGAGATGAAAGAGCCTGGAGCAATTTCCAATCAAATACTGAGGTGATTAGTTTATTTTTTTGAAAATAATCTATGATTATCTACCATGTGTCCAGAACTTAGTATGAGATCAGAGAAGAAAAGTGGTAAGTACACCACCATTAGAAAGCTTCACAATATAGTTAAGAATGTGATTAATAAAAACATAAAAATGCAACATTAGTATATGTTGTTGAATAGTATAATAGAAAAAGGGATATAATGCAGAATAAATGTACAATACGAACTTTACACCTGAAAGATAAGAAACATTAAATTTTTGGGCCGGGCGCGGTGGCTCAAGCCTGTAATCCCAGCACTTTGGGAGGCCGAGACGGGCGGATCACGAGGTCAGGAGATCGAGACCATCCTGGCTAACACAGTAAAACCCCGTCTCTACTCAAAAATACAAAAAGTTAGCCGGGCGAGGTGGTAGGCGCCTGTAGTCCCAGCTACTCAGGAGGCTGAGGCAGGAGAATGGCGTAAACCCGGGAGGCGGAGCTTGCAGTGAGCTGAGATCCGGTCACTGCGCTCCAGCCTGGGCGACAGAGCGAGACTCCGTCTCAAAAAAAAAAAAGAAACATTAAATTTTTGTACTATTGTTGCATTTATAAAATATTCAGGATCATTACTTAAATCACTGATGTCAATAACTTCACCATCATCAGTAAAACTTCCTTTTGTAATTATCCAAGAGTTCTCCAGAGCTCAGTATCAACACTTTTATTTAACTTCTTCACATTCATCCTCCTTTAATTGAACCTATAATTGAATCTATAAAGTATATATTATATCTATATGGAATGCTATCATTGGAAATTACTCCTAACCATAATAATTTTTTGTATAATAGTAGGACAGATATTTTCATCCAATAAGTACAATTGTTTGTGATTTCTACAAGACCATTTATTGCATATTTTAAAAGTTTATTGACTTTTTGATGATATTCTTTACTAGCAATTGTGGGATAATATTCTCAGGAAGTACTCTGCAAGATGAAAAGATCTGGCATGGTCTCAAATATAAAACGAGGCTGGACCTGGTGGCAGCTCACACCTACAATCCCGGCACTTTGGGAGGCTGAGGTGGGAGGACTGCTTGTCTTCAACCCAGGAGTTTGAGACCAGCCTGGGTAACATACAGAGAACCTGTCTCTACAAATATTTTTTTTCTAAAATTAGCCATGTGTGGTGGTGCACACCTTAAGTCCCAGTTACTTGTGAGGCAGAGGGGGTGGATCACTATAGCCTGAGAGGTTGAGGTTGCAGTGAGCCATAACTGCATTGCTGCACTCCACCCTAGGAGACAGAGTGAGACAGAGGCTCAAAACAAACAACAAACAAAAACAAACAAAAAAACCCCAAAAAACTACTCTTTTCTTGAGGCAAAAAGCCTCATCTAATTTTCAGACATCAGAATTTCAGATGAAGCAGGCTGGCTGTGGTGACTGATGCCTGGAATCCCAGTACTTTAGGAGGCTGAGGTGGGTGGATCACTTGACCCCAGGAGTTCAAGACCAGCCTGGCCAACATATTGGAACCCCATCTCTACCCAAATACAAAAATTAGCCGGGTGTGGTGGTGCATGCCTGTAATCCCAGCTACTTGGGAGGCTAAGATGGGAGGATCACTTGAGCCTGGGAGGCGGAGGTTGTGTGAGCCAAGAGTGAGCCACTGCACGTCAGCCTGGGTGACTGAGACCCCATCTCAAAAATAAAATTGAATTTCAGAGGAAGCACCACTGCTGATATGGAAAATTAAAGAAAGGCTCAGTGTTGGTCAGGTGTGGTGGCTCACGCCTGTAATCCCAGCACTTCGGGAGGTCAAGGCGGGCGAATCATGAGATCAGGAGATCGAGACCATCCTGGCCAACATGGTGAAACCCCATCTCTACTAAAAATACAAAATTAGCTGGGTGTGGTGGCGCATGCCTGTAATCCCAGCTACTCAGGAGGCTGAGGCGAGAGAATCACGTGAACCCGGGAGTCGGAGGTTGCAGTGAGCCGAGATCGCGCCGCCCTCCAGCCTGGTGACAGAGAGACTCCTTCTCAAAAAAAAAAAAGAAAGAAAGAAAGAAACATTCAGTGTTTCAGGTATAAATAAATATGATAATACTATTCACTGAGATGAAAAACACTATGCAAAGAAGTTTGAAGATCAAAAGCAAGAGTCATATGTAGACAAATGTGAGATCCACTTGAAGAGTTTACAGAAAATTGTTTTATAAGATGTGAGAACAAAGGAAAACAATAATTTTAAATTAAAATCAAATCAAGATGGGATTAAAAATATGTCTATCCAGGCCAGGCGCGGTGGCTCACGCCTGCAATCCCAGCACTTTGGGAGGCTGAGGCAGGCAGATTACGAGGTCAAGGGATTGAGACCAGCCTGGTCAACATGGCGAAATCCCGTCTCTACTAAAAATACAAAAATTAGCCAGGCGTGGTGGAGCACACCGGTAGTCCCAGCTACTCGGGTGGCTGAGGCAGGAGAATTGCTTGAACCTGGGAGGCGGAGGTTGCAGTGAGCTTAGATTGTACCACTGCACTCCAGCCTGGCGACAGAGTGAGACTTCGTCTCAAAAAAAAAAAAGTCTATCCAAATTAATGAATTACATGGTAAACAATAATAAAGTAGTTTATATGTAGACTTAAAAGTAGTATTTTGCGATTTTTTAGTCAGGATATCACTGTGTTGCCCAAGGAATGAAGAGGTAGGGTCATACCTCACTGCAGCTGAAACTTCCAGGCTGAAGTGATCCTTCTGCCTCAGTCACACAAGTAGCTGAGACTGTTGGTGTGTGCCAGCATGCCTGGCTAATTTTTCATATTCTTCTTGTAGAGATGGGGTCTTGCTATGTTGCCCGGGCTGGCCTTCAACTCCTGGCCTCAAGCAATACTCCTGTCTTGGCCTCCCAAAGCACTGGGATTACAGGCATAAACCACCATATCACGCCCACCAAAATGTCATTTTGATGGCACACAAACAAATACCCTCTTTCTTTCTTTCCTTCATAGTACTTATCAAATAGGTAATCCTTTTACTCATATCTCTCCCAGTAGAATGTAAACTGTATGAGGGTAGGGAACAGGTCTTTTTCACTAATGTACCCCCACTGCATAGCACATAACAAGCCCTCAATATAGGTAGGATAAATATTATTCACTTATCATTGAGCTTCTAAAGTAGTTCCTTTCAGTATCATTAATCTTGAGAATTTTGCACTTTAACACAAATGCTTCATGTTCAAATACTGAATTGCTGAATATTTTATGGTTTTATATTGTCTCCTAAATTAAAATCCTACAAAGTTATTTCATGACTCATTTCTTTTCAATTCCTCTCATTCCACATGAGAAGTGGGTCTAAATTAATAGGGGAACATAATATCTGTCTTTACAGCTTTTCCAAACTGCACATACTCAGACCTAAAAAACAATGGGAATGGTACCTAGACATCTGCAACCTGAAATATTTCCCTGCTGTGCATTATGGCTCACTCCTGTAATCCCAGCACTTTGGGAGGCCAAAGCAAAGGATCACTTGAGCCCAGAGTTTGAGACCAGCCTGGGAAACATAGTGAGATCCTGTCTCTCCAAAAAAGCCAAAATTTTAAAAATTAGCTGGGTGTGGTGGTAGTCTCAGCTACTGGGGAGGCTGAAGTGGAAGGAGGTCATGAGTCCAGACAGGTCAAGGCTGCAGTGAGCTGTGACTGTGCCACTATACTCCAGCCTGGGTGACAAAGGGAGACCTTATCTAAAAAAAAATTAAAAATAAATATTTCCTAAAGTAGATGCTTAGATGGAAACTTTTCTACTGAAGGAACATCTGACAAACAAGACTTTTATTTGGCTCCATAATAACCAATTTTTAAAAATCAAATAAGTACATACCACAGATTCCACAGAGAGCACAGACTACGCTACTGGCCATCTCTCTTCATGGGGGAAAAAATCTTAGGACCTAGTTGTTTTAGGAATTTCAGACAATGTCTCATCAGGCCTGAGTTACTATATTATAGATGCTACATGGGTAGAGATTTCAGAAAAAGCTGTGAGTCGAGGAACATTCACTGGAGTTGAAGAAAAGAGCTGAAAGTGAAGTCTACCTGGGGAAACTGTACCATAATCAAAGGCACAGATGCAGAAAAAAATTTCAGAAGAGCAGTGAGGAAGAATCTAGCCGAAATGGAGTTAATAATGACTTCTGTGCACAGAAAAATAAATGGAGAGATAAGATGTTCCCATACCATGAGGTTCTTCAACATAAAGGTAACGGGTACTTAAACCCACCTGACTATGTGATGGGATGGGAGAGAAGCTTTAGAGAAGTTAAACACCAAATGTACCAGAAAAATGCACTGGGAACTGACTTGAAAATCCTTAGTCAGTACAGAGGAAGGTAAGAAGCAAAATCTCCTTACTATGTTTAAAGTATTAGGGTTTTTTTATGTGCTTTTGTTTTTAGAGACAAGGTCTCACTCTGTTGCCTAGCACATCCGTGGCTCACTGCAGCTTCCAGCTCCTGGGCTCAAGCAATCCTCCCACTTCAGCCACCCAAGTAGCTGGCACTAGAAGTGCACACCAGCATATTTGGCTAAGTTATTATTATTATTAGTAGTAGTAGTAGTAGTAGACATGGGATCTTGCTTTGTTGCCCAGGTTGGTCTCAAACTCCTGGCCTTACATGACTATCATGCCTTGCCCTCTCCCCAACCTCCAAAGCATGAGGATTACAGGCATGATCTACTGCGCCCGGCCTAGATCTTCATTCTGTATCAGTGGGTTCATCTTCTACTCTCTGTGGTTTTAAAATAGATATATATCAAATTACAGGAAGAGAAGAAAAATAATAAATTAAAAGTTTAAGTTTAAATAAACTCAAAGGCAATCAGTGTTATCTAAAAGAAGAAAAAAACTGTGAATTCATAAAGAGAGCCTTAACCAAGAAAGTGGGGTTCTAAATGGCCATCAATCTGTGCCACTGAATAAGATGGATACATTTCATCATAAACTCCATAGAGAAAAGACACATCCCGATGTGGAGAACAGGTTATGGAGCACATCTGTTAAAAATCATGAAGAATTCATGTCACCAATCTTGAGTGAATTCTAAAGATTCAGGAACTTTAAACAGTTTTATAAACAACATTTTAAAAGTGCCCACCTGTCATCAAAAACCAGAGATTAAATGTTCACTGTATCTCATAAACCTGATTATTCCTCACCTGAAAAGTTTTAATTTAGGATTTCTTGACCTATTATCCATGGATCTTGTTGTTCTAGTTTGAGGTTTGAGAATTTGATAACCTGTCGATTGGAAACACAGAGGACTTGCACCTAACTGCTTGGGCTAAGAGTCTTAAATATGAAGAATGTTTTATTACAAAGGCTGTGAAATAAAAAGCAAGTGAATGAAAATCTTTCAATTTAGTATAAAAGTCAAATAATCTTTGACGTGTAAAACTTACGTCCAAAATCAACAAACACCTCACAGGCCAAACAGTTACTGGCCATACAGTAAGTTACATAAGAATGTTCTTACTCAAGAAGAAGAATGTTCTTACCCAAGAAAATCAGATTGCTATAGTTCTCCAACATCACATCTCTGTACAAGTTCTTCTGAGTAGGATTAAGTAGCTGCCATTCCTCCAACGTGAAATCCACAGCCACATCCTCAAATGATATCTGGAAAAGCACAATCCCTGTTAAACCTGAAGTGGTTCTCACTTGGTCTTGTAAAATACTTGCTTCTGTATTTGTGGTAGGCGGCCTCTAAGATGGCCCCAGTGACCTCTGACTCTGGTATTCATGCTTTTGCATAATCCTCTCCTCTTGACTGTGGGCTGGACTCACTGACTCATTCTCCTGAACAGAACAGGGGAACATGATGAGATGCCACTTCCAAGACTAGGTTAGAAAGAAATGCAGCTTCTATCCTGGGCACTCTCTCTCTGGAGGAGTCTGGCTGCTGTGTTGTAAGGTCGCCATGTGGAAGCTCACGTGCCATGGAACTGAGGCTTCCCAACAGTCACTGAGCGAGCCTGGAGGAGCCAGCTCCTTCCTCGCTGCACCCTGAGATGACGGCAGCCCTTCTCAACACCTTCATCACTGCACCATGTGAGACCCTCAACTGAAACCAAGTGGGAAGCACCTGGCGGATTCCTAAGCCCAGAAACTGTGAGATCAATGTTTGCTGTTTTCAGCCCCTGAGGTTTGGGGTAATTTGTTACACAATAATGAATAACTAATACAATATAATATAATATAACATAATATAAAATAATCTTGAATTATGCTTTGAGCAAGAAATGTTAAAAAAATATATAATATATATATTTTATATAATTTATATATTATATATATAAATTTATATATTTATATTTTTATATAATTTATATATTTATATAATTTATATATATTATATATATAATATATATATATATTTTTTTTTTTTTAAAGTTTTGACTGAGTCAGTCGATTATATTGGTTACATTCCTCCAGACTGGAGTACACATGGGTATTGATTTCGGCTTCCATTGCCAACCTCCTCTGGCCCTCCCCAGGGTTTCAAATAATGATTCTCCCTGCCCTCATCCCTCCCTGAGTAGCTGGGATTATAGGCGCCCGCCACCATGCCCAGTTAATTTTTGTATTTTCAGTAGAGACGGGGTTTCACCATGGTGACCAGGCTGGTCTTGAACACCTAACCTCGTGATCTGTCCGCCTCGGACTCCCAAATTGCTGGGATTACAGGCATGAGCCACCGCACCCAGCTTAAAAATATTTATCATTGTGAATTCATTCATCCATCTACCTATCAACTGAACAAGAAACCAGAATAGGTTGTCTTTAAACAACACAGTGGTTCTCAAAGAAGGTGCCACTGGTATTTGAGAACCAATTTTAGCTAAGCAACATTGTCCCATGCAGTTAAGCCCTTCAGCATGCCTGGCCTCTGTCTGCTAATGACAGTAATATCTCTCAGTCACTGGCTGGGCATGGTGGCTCATGCCTGTAATCCCAGCACTTTGGGAGGCTGAGGTGGGCGGATCACCTGAGGCCAGGAATTCAAGACCAGCCTGGCCAACATGGCGAAACTCCATCTCTACTAAAAATACACACACACACACACACACACACACACTTAGCTAGGCATGGTGGCGGGTGCCTGTAATCCCACAACAAAAAAAAAAAAAAAAAAAAAAAAAACTAGCGGGCTGGGGGGGGGGGGGGGGGGGGGGGGGGGCTGAGATGGCCCAGCTGACAGGAAGATCCTAAAAAAAAAAAAAAAAAAAAAAAAAACCTAGGAGATGGAGGTTGCAGTGAGCCAAGGTTGCACCCCTGCACTCCAGCCTGGGCAACAGAGCGAGACTCTATCTCAAATAAATAAATAACAAAACAAACAAAAAACCACTGTCTTCCCTCTGGGAGTGATTCTGCTCCCAAGTAAGAACAACTGGCCAGCTATTTTAGATATCTTCCAAAACACACGTATTGAGCAATTAAGATTCCAGGAACTATCTGGGTGCAGTGGCTCACTCCTGAAATTCCAGCACTTTGGGAGGCTGAGGCGGGTGGATCACCTGAGGTCAGGAGTTGGAGACCAGCCTGGTCAACATGGTGAAACCCCATCCTATTAAAAATACAAAATTAGCCAAGCGTGGTGGTGCATGCCTGTAATCCCAGCTACTCGGGAGGCTGAGACAGGAGAATCCCTTGAACCCTGGAGGTGGAGGTTGCAGTGAGCCAAGATTGCGCCACTGCACTCCAGCCTGGACAATAGAGCAAGATTCCATCTCAAAAAAAAAAAAAAGAAAAGAAAAGAAAAAAGATTCCAGGAACCATAACACGTATCAGAAATTTAAAAATGAGTAGAAAAATATCATGTTCTCAAGTACCCTTCAGGCCAGAGTGAATAAGGTTACAGGACTATGAAACTAGCATTTACAGAATATAGAGACAAAACAGGGATAAAAACACTGGATTTGACAACACTGACTCAGGTGCCATAAAGAAGTAAGGCTTATGAAGGGTCTCTAGAAAGTCCTGGTCACAGAGGGGGATGAGGAAAAGGACACTCACAAGGCAGCAGCATGAGCAAAGGCATGGAAACAGAGTGTGTTTTCTCAGGGATGAAAGTTCAGGAATATAAGAGAGGAGGTGGGAGTGGCAGCGGTGGGAAAGGTCCTGGCCTCTTTAAAAGGGAAAGGGGAAAACTTGAGAGGTAAGCAGAGGCCAACCTCCATTTGGACTCAGGTAAATTTGAACATTCCTGTCCCAACAGTTACAAGGAACATAGAAGAAAGGAGAAAGGCTTAGAACAAGCCCAAGCATAGAGGACTAATAGGTTACTTTCCCTCATGAAGCTGGAAGACAAGGAGTACTCTGTGTGTGGGTAAATGAAAAATAAAAATCAAAGAAAATTAATTTCTTGCCTCAAATGGTTAGTAGGTAGTTACAACAAAGGAGGGTCCAGAAATGGTCCCTTGAGAAGTTGTATAACCATAGCTAGAGTCCGTTATATGTGCGGTGTATGGCGGCCTGAACTCCAGGTATGTAGATGTGTTCGGTTTTGCTATTACAGGCTTGAGCACCCGCCAGCAAAAACCTTAAGCACAGAGTTCTAAAGTGTTTTTGAGGGTGACGTGCATTCAGGCATCCAGCAGAATCAAATGCAAATTCTATTTAGAGAAAGAGATCCAAATAATTCTCACAAATAAAGGTTCAAGAAAAATGAGTACAGAGTAAAAGAGAAACCAGAATGCACAAATTAAAAAAAAAAATTGGCTGGGTGCAGTGGCTCATGCCTGTAATCCCAACATTTTGGGAAGCTGAGGCGGGCGGATCACCTGAGGTCAGGAGTTCGAGACCAGCCCGGCCAACACGGGGAAACTCAGTCTCTACTAAAAGTGCAAAAATTAGCTGGGCATGGTGGTATGCGCCTGTATTCCCAGCTACTCAGGAGGCTGAGACAGGAGAATCACTTGAACCCAGGAGGCGGAGGTTGCAGAGAGCTGAGACCGCACCACTGCACTGCAGCCTAGGCGACAAGACTGATACTCCATCTCAGAAAATAAATAAATAAAATAAAAAATAAAAGAAATCTATTTATTTACTTATTTATTTTGAGATGGAGTCTTACTCTGTTGCCCAGGCTGAAACGCAATGATGCGATCTTGGCTCATTGCAACCTCTGCCTCCCAGGTTCAAGCGATTCTCCTGCCTCAGCCTCCCGAATAGCTGAGATTACAGGCACACGCCACGACGCCTAGGTAACTTTTATATTTTCAGTAGAGATGGGGTTTTGCCATGTTGGTCAGGCTGGTCTTGAACTCCTGACCTCAGGTGATCCGCCCGCCTCAGCCTCCCAAAGTGCTGGGATTACAGGCGTGAGCCACCTTGCCCGGCCTGAGAAATCTAATTTTTAAAAAAGACAGGAGAGGTATAAAAGACTTGAGATATTTGAACTGTCAGCACAGAATATAAAATAAATACATTTAATATATTCAAAGAAATAAAAGATGCTAATGAAAGTATGAAAAAGAATCAGAAGACTATACAAATGAATAAACGGATTTGAAAAAGAATGAAATACAACTCCTAGAGATAAAGTGCATAGTAAGTAAAGTTAAGAAGTCAACGGAAGGGCTTAAGAGTAGATTAGAAAAAGATGAAGAGGGAATAAGTGAATTGGAAGACAGACCAGAAGAAATTCATAATGAAGCAAAAGAACAGAAATGGAAAATATAAAGCAACCCAGCTATATGCTGCCTATGAAAGAGGCACATTTATGTTCCAAATAGTTTAAACATAAAAGGACTCACATTACTTGATTTCAAGATTTCCTATACAAGCACAGTAATTAAGACAGGATGGAATTTGTGAAAGGATAAAAACACAGGTTAATGGAACAGAACAGAGAACTCGAAAATAAGCCCCTACAAATATACTCAATTGTTTCCCAAAAGTACAAAAAGCAATTCTACAGTCTTTGTGACAAAATAATGTCAGAATAATTTTATACTCATAAGCAAAAGAAGAGATCTCAACACATACCTCACACCTTATATCAAAACTAACTCAAAATGGACCACAGACCTAAACATAAAAAACTATAAACCTTTTAGAATAAAACCAAAGAAAACCTGTATGACTTTGGGTTTGGCAATGAGTTAGATACAACACCAAAGGCCTGATCAATTTAAGAAAAATATTTGATAAATTGGACTTTCTCAAAATTAAGAACTTTTGTTCTGTGAAAAACAATGTTAAGAGAAATAGAAGATATGGCACAGACTAAGAGAAAATTATTTGCAAATTACATACCTGCTAAAGCACTCATATCCAGGATATAAAGAACTATTAATAAGAAAATAATCCCATTTTAAAAATTAGCAAAATATCTTGACATTTCACCAAAGAAAACACATGGATGGTGGCCAGGCGTGGTGGCTCATGCCACGCCTGTAATCCCAGCGCTTTGGGAGGCCGAGGCAGGAGGATCACCTGAGGTCAGGAGTTTGAGACCAGCCTGGCCAACATGGTGAAACCCCATTTCTACTAAAAATACAAAAATTAGCTGGGTGTGGTGATGCACACCTGTAATCCTACCTACTGGGGAGACTGAGGGAGGATAACTGTTTGAACCTGGGAAGCAGAGGTTGCAGTGAGCCAAGGTTGTGCTACTGCACTCCAGCCTGGGCGACAAGAGTGAAACTCTGACTCAAAAAAAAAAAAAAAAAAAAAAAAAAAGAAAATGCATGGATGGAAAGTACACATAGGAAAAGATGTTCAATATCATGTCAAAAGGTGAATGCAAATTAAAACTATAATGAAATACTACTATGTACTTATTAGAAGGCTAAAACTAAACACACACACACACACACACACACACACACACCCCTGACAAATATCAGTGAGGATTCAGAGCAACAGCAACTCTCATTCATTGTGGTGGGCATGTAAAATGTACAGCAGCTTTGGAAAACATTTTGGCAGTTTCTCACAAAGTTGAACACAGACTTACCCCACAACCCAGCAATCCCACTCCTAGGCGTTTACTCAAGTAGTGAACTGAAAACTTACATTCACCTGAAAATTTATGTTCAAACCTATATGGAGATGAATGCTTTATTCAAAACTGCTAAAAAGTGGAAGCCACCAAGATGTCCTTCAATGAGTGAATGGATAGAGACTGTGGCCCATCCATACATGGGATAGTATTCAAGGGAACCACATGCCAAGAAAAAGGAACAAACTGCCGACAAGATATGAATGAATCTCAAAGGTATGCTGAGTGAGAAAAGCCACTGTCAAAAGGTCACATACATGATCCCATTTGTTTTTTTATTTTTATTTTATTTCTTGAGACAGAATCTCACTCTGTTGCCCTTTTGATAAGAGGAAACCACGTTAACTATCCCTACTTTTCTTTCTGTTATGGCTTCTGGGAATACCTGAGAAAAGCTTGCAGTTCAATTCTGTAATAGGGAAGGATCCATTTCTTTTTTTTTTTCGAGACAGAGTCTAGCTCTGTCGCTCAGGCTGGAGTGTAGTGGTGCGATCTCGGCTCACTGCAAGCTTTGCCTCCCGGTTTCACGCCATTCTCCTGCCTCAGCCTCCTGAGTAGCTGGGACTACAGGCACCTGCCACCAAGTCCGGCTAATTTTTTGTATTTTTAGTAGAGACGGGGTTTCACCGTGTTAGCCAGGATGGTCTCAATCTCCTGACCTCGTGATCCACCCACCTCGGCCTCCCAAAGTGCTGGGATTATAGGTGTGAGCCACCATGCCCGGCAGGATCCCATTTCTTATTGATCTCTTCCAACTTTAAGACTTTTGTATGACTCTTTTTCTAACTCTGTCACCCCGGAGTGCACTGATGTAATCCCAGCTCACTGCAATCTCCATCTCCTGGGTTCAAGTGATTCTCATGCCTCAGCTTCCCGAGTAGCTACGAGGCTAATTTTTGTATTTTTAGTAGAGAAGGGGTTTTGCCATATTGGCCAGGCTGGTCTCAAACTCCTGGCCTCAAATGATCTGCCCTCCTTGGCCTCCCAAAGGGCTGGGATTACAGGCGTGAGCCACCATGCCCAGCTGAGACTTTTGTATGATTCTATAATCTACTATGTGCTTCTTTTGACATCTTCTTTCCCAAGCTTATATTTTCTCTTATTTAAATGTATTTAGACCCTTCTGTGTGTTGCAGAGATTTCCATAAGCCTCATCACATCCACGAAACAGAGGACAAACCGATAACCCACCTGTGACTGGATCATTTTCCACTGCTCTTGGGAAACCCGCTGTTTTGTGACTTCTCTTAGTCCTGACACCTGGAGTGGTCTCTGGTCAGTGGTCTGTAAACTGAGAATGTATTCTTGGTCTTGTGGGCTCTTCTTTCTTATCTCACATGAATTGTCTTGTTCCAGAGGGTTACTGCCTGTGGATGCAGTAGACATTTTATTTTAGATGATCTAATTAATTTGGAAACCTAAATCTTGGTGTTCTCTTGCTGGGAGCTCAGATTATTTAAAGCCTCAAACTAGATGTTGGGTAGGTTCACATCAGGGCTAGCAGGTGGGAAGCAGGGTGGAATGTGAGCTACTGGCATGTCTCCATCGGGTCTGACCTGCATCTAGGCCAGGTCTGCAGCACACACTGAACTTAACCACCCTGGCTCCACCCATAAATGCCAGATGGAAACCACTCACCCGGCTGGTTCAAGCAGACAGAGGAGCACCCCTACACCGAGCTGCTCAGCACCTCTAGAGGAGCACCCCTACGCCGAGCTGCTCAGCACAGACACCTCCAGAGGAGCACCCTACCCTGCCAGCACCCAAGACAACCGACTGCTCAGCACCTCCAGAGGAGCACCCCTACACCGAGCTGCTCAGCACAGACACCTCCAGAGGAGCACCCCTACAGCAAACTGCTCAGCACCTCCAGAGGAGCACCCCTAAAGCAAACTGCCCAGCACCTCCAGAGGAGTACCCCACCACTGCTCAGCACCTCCAGAGGAGCACCCCTAAAGCAAACTGCTCAGCACCTCCAGAGGAGTACCCCCACACCGAACTGCTCAGCACCTCCAGAGGAGCACCCCTACGCCGAGCTGCTCAGCACCTCCAGAGGAGCACCCCTACGCCGAGCTGCTCAGCACCTCCAGAGAAGCACCCCACACCGAACTGTTCAGACACCTCCAGAGGAGCACCCCTCACCAAGCTGCTCAGCACCTCCAGAGGAGCACCCCACACCGAGCTGCTCAGCACCTCCAGAGGAGCACCCCACACCGAGCTGCCAGACACCTCCAGAGGAGCACCCCTACACCGAGCTGCCCAGCACAGACACCTCCAGAGGAGCACCCCCACACCGAGCTGCTCAGCACAGACATCCTGCAGCTCTGGAAATGCAATGAGGGCTTATTCATTCCGCAGAAATATTTCCTGGAGGTACCTAAATCAAGTTATTTGTGTTAAGTGCTACAGAGTAAAATGCAACTTATTTCTAGGCAGGGTGGTAAACAGAAAATGGCCTTTAGATGGAGATGGTGAATCAGCCTGGGGTTCTGGCTCCCTACCCCCAAATCAGCCAGGAACAAAAGGAAAACATAGATCAGAGGAACTAATATAAGAGTAAAAAAAGAAAAAGAGACACCCCTGGGCAGACGCAGGGTGGGGTGAAGCTGAGGCATGGGTTTGAGGCTGAGCAGGGCCTGGCAGCAGCCTACAGTAGATGGGAGCCAGAGGGGGCAGCAAGACACAAGGCAGGGAGTGTCGTATGTTGCCTCTTCCCCAGTTCACACTGGAACAGCTACCGCCTGCACTTTCTTCAGAAATCAGCAGTAACAGCCCAGGCTGCTGGTTTCCAAGGTGTACCTGAGGCAGACCCCAATCCCTGCAGAACCGAGGAATCATGGAGGGGTAAGGGCTGCAGCTGTTCTTTGGGTATTTTCTGACCTCCTGCCTCCAGCATCCCAGGGCTGGGAGTGTCAATTCACGAGCTGCCCGGAATGGGGGCAGCTCACAGCTGGAAGAGGGGGCACGATTTCCAGGTCTCCCCTTGGTCCGGGGCCCCTGAACGCTCCTCTGCTTCAAATCATCAGAAGTTTCAGAGACTAAAGCCTGGCCTTCAGCCTTTCCCCAACACGCATCTCCAGACAATGTGGGGGAGCAGCTGATACCCCGAGGGGAACGTGAGCTCACAGGCCTGGAAGAGCAAATATAGATTTAAAAGGAAGAAAAAACTCTAATTTTCCCTCATACCAAACAGAGAAAGAGATTCAGAGATTCACCCCCGTTTTTTTTTGTTTGTTTGTTTGTTTTTTAAGAGGCTCAGTTTTGCTCTTGTAGCCCAGGCTGGAGTGCAGTGGCATGATCTCGGCTCACTGCAAACTCCGTCTCCAGGGTTCAAGCGATTCTCCTGCCTCAGACTCCCAAGTAGCTGGGATTACAGGCACCGCCACCACGCCCGGCTAATTTTTTGTATTTTTAGTAGAGACAGGGTTTCACCATATTGGCCAGGCTGGTCTCGAACTCCTGACCTCAGGTGATCCACCCGCCTCGGCCTCCCAAAATGCTGGGATTACAGGCGTGAGCCACCATGCCTGGCCACATTCTTTTTTTGAGACAGGGTCTTGCTGTCACCCGGACTGGAGTGCAGTGGCATGATCTTGGCTCACCGCAGCCTCAACCTTCCTGGGCTCACGTGAATTCTCTCACTTCAGCCGCCTGAGTAGCTGGGACCACAGGTGTGCGCCACCACACCCAGCTAATTTTTGTATTTTTTGTAGAGATGGGGTTTTGCCTTGTTGCCCAGGTTGGCCTTGAACTCCTGGGCTCAAGTGATCCACTGGCCTCAATCTCCCAAAGTACTGGGACTACAGGTGTGAGCCACCGTGTCCGGCCTCGTCGAACTTTTATTCAATAATAAAACTGTTTTTCTTTATTTTCTTTTTTTTTTTATTTTTTATTTTTTTTGAGACGGAGTCTCGCTTTGTCGCCCAGGCTGGAGTGCAGTGGCCGGATCTCAGCTCACTGCAAGTTCCGCCTCCCGGGTTTACGCCATTCTCCTGCCTCAGCCTCCCGAGTAGCTGGGACTACAGGCGCCCACCACCTCGCCCGGCTAGTTTTTTGTATTTTTAGTAGAGACGGGGTTTCACCGTGTTAGCCAGGATGGTCTCGATCTCCTGACCTCATGATCCGCCCGTCTCGGCCTCCCAAAGTGCTGGGATTACAGGCTTGAGCCACTGCGCCCGGCCTGTTTTTCTTTATTTTCTACTTGTGTGGAGAGGTCTTCTGGGTTGGCATATTTTAGGTTTATTTCCCCAACAGGCCAAATAATCGGGTAACTAAGTATAACCATTATTTTTAAAAATTTTTCAAAGACCACAAACTGCACAAAAGATATCATCTTAGGCAGAAGATGGAAAAGACTGACCAAGATTGAAAATAAGCATAATGAACTCAAGAAGTACCACATCCTGGTGCATGTGAATGCTTACACTTTAAATTTCTTCCCTGCCCATGAACCAGGCCACTTAGATTAAGCCACACATGGAGTCAGAGCCAAAGAAATTCAAGGACATGCAGCTGCACAGGGATGCTCTTTCCTTCATCAGAATGAGTTTGAAAGGAAATGTCCAAAAAAAGTTTCCTGTAAACTTGGGGACAAGAGGAACCGAAAATCTACCTCACATAACAATCCTGCCAAGCAACATTTGTCCAGCAATCACCGTCTACACCTGCGGGGCGAGGCCACGTGGCCCAGGAATGGTTGCCAAGTAGCGCCGAAGCTCCCAGGGCTGAAGCAGGTGACTCCCGAGCACACGGCAAGGGCCCCACAGGCAAGGGGCTAATCAGCCAGCCAGGAAGATATTGAGTGGCACGAGGCCAGCGGCACCTTTCCAGAAAGTGAGGTACACTGAGCGAGAAGACCTACAGCAAGGGCCTTTTCTCATCTTCGTCTGTCTTCACTGTCCCACAGAAACAGAGTAAGCAGTGACTGAAGTGTCCACTCCCCTGCCTCAAATGAGGGAGGAAAGTTAGGACTGGATATTAGCAAATGGCCGGGTTTTTCCCCAGGGCAACTGAGAAAAAAGAGTAGAGGCAGACGCCACCCCTCTGTGCAGTCCCCCACTTACCCCAGAGGCAGGCTGAGAATTAGACAAGGGCAGTTCCCAGGTGACCTCACGCTCAGGAACCCCACGGTGCACAGCCAGCAGCATCCACACCTGCAGGGCACAGGAGGCGGGGGCCGGCGTAGCTCGCGCCTGGCACCTGCGGAAGCAGACGTCAGTGTGGCTCGCGCCTGGCACCTGCGGGAAGCAGACGTCAGTGTGGCTCGCGCCTGGCACCTGCGGGGAGCAGACGTCAGTGTGGCTCGCGCCTCGGGGCAGACCATGGGCCGCCTGCCCGGGGAGCAGACGTCAGTGTGGCTCGCGCCTGGCACCTGCGGGGAGCAGACGTCAGTGTGGCTCGCGCCTGGCACCTGCGGGGAGCAGACGTCAGTGTGGCTCGCGCCTGGCACCTGCGGGGAGCAGACGTCAGTGTGGCTCGCGCCTGGCACCTGCGGGGAGCAGACGTCAGTGTGGCTCGCGCCTGGCACCTGCGGGGAGCAGACGTCAGTGTGGCTCGCGCCTGGCACCTGCAGGGAGCAGGAGGCAGAGACCAATGTAGCTCACGCCTGGTATCTGTTGGTGGAAAGGCATATGGGGTGCTTGTATTAACTGGCCATAAAAATATGGGACAATAAGTTGTGGAAAGCCACAAGAGGCCGCTGAGGAGGATGCCTTCTTATTGCCATTATGTTCCCATGTTCTGAGCGAGACTTGCTCTCTTATCCATGAACACTGTGTTTAAGGAGAGAGACGCTCCTCTGAAGCACTGGAATGTGGCCAGACGTGCAGGCTCCTAGTTAAGCCCGCCCCCACTAGCTACTCTCCGATAAGTTAAAAATATGCTGTTTGAGCACAAAGGAGATTCATTTAAACCGCCACTACTATAGATTACACGTAGGACGCACTGCTCCCTTTCACCATTTCGCCCTGAACGTTTGCTTCGTAGATCTAAGTGATTGTACTCAATAAACAGAGTGGAGACCAGAACTCTGGGCCTTTTGCAGCCTCCATTTTGCAATTGGCCCCCTGGCCCCCACTCTTTATACACTCTTAACCTGTCTCTTCTCATTCCTTAGTCGCCACCGGACTTTGGGTACCCTACGGGTGATGTTGAGGCTGGTCCCCAACAGCATCTGCAGGGAGCAAGAGGCGGAGACCAGTGTAGCTCGCGCCGGCGTTGGCTCCCGAGTTCTTTATGTCCCCCTCTCTGTCATTAAGAGAATCAAGGTAAGACTCAGGCCAGGGAGGGGAGACAGGTCCCAGTGTCAGCATGGACAGTTAACAACCATAGTCACTCTGGAAAGATTAGCTAAACTGTGGATTCTGAC